CCCCCCCCGGCCCCCAGTGACGCCCCCTCCCCCCCCAGGTGTGACCCTGGCCATGGACTGCACCTGCCTGTCCGACCTGCTCCTCACGGCGCCCGTGCCCGCGCTCTGGGCCCCAGGTACAGAGGGGACACCTGGGGGTACCTGGGGGGGTCTGGGACACACCTGGGGACGCCTGGACACACCTGGGCACAGCTGGGCACACCTGGACACAGCTGGGGACACCTGGGCACAACTGGGGATACCTGGGCACAGCTGGGCACAGCTGGACACAGCTGGGCACACCTGGACACACCTGGGCACACCTGGACACAGCTGGGGACACACCTGGACACACCTGGACACACCTGGACACACCTGGGCACAGCTGGCCACAGCTGGACACAGCTGGGGACACCTGGGCACAGCTGGACACAGCTGGGCACACCTGGACACAGCTGGGGACACCTGGGCACAACTGGGGATACCTGGACACACCTGGGCACAGCTGGACACACCTGGGCACACCTGGACACACCTGGGCACAGCTGGGGACACACCTGGGCACACCTGGGGACACACCTGGGCACACCTGGACACACCTGGACACAGCTGGGGACACCTGGACACACCTGGGCACAGCTGGACACAGCTGGGGACACACCTGGGCACACCTGGGCACACCTGGACACAGCTGGAAGCCCCAGTGCTGCCCCCCCAGATCCAGGTGAGGACCTCGTGTCCCCACACGGCTCCAGCAGGGACACTGGGGGTGTCACAGCGATGATGACGTCACCCCGATGATGTCACACGTGTCCCCTCAGGGTTCACCTTCCCCACGTGGGCATTGGAGGGGACACAGATGATGTCACACTGATGATGACGTCACACTTACAAGGTTACACGTACGACATTGCACTGGTGATGACGTCACACGGGTGATGACGTCACACTGTTACTGACGTCACATTGATGCTGTTCCTCGAGTGGGCACAGCAGGGAGGTCACAGCGCTGACGTCACGCTGCTGACGTCACAGCGCTAATGACATCACAGCGCTGATGACATCACCCCAATGACGGCACACACGTCACCCTCAGGGTTCGCGTTCCCTGAATGGGCACAGCAGGGTGTCACAGTGACGATGACGTCACACCGGTGATGATGTCACAGTGACGATGACATCACATTGATGATAATGTCACCGTGACGATGACGTCACACCAACAATGATGTCACAGTGACGATGACATCACATTGATGTTGATGTCACAGTGATGATGACGTCACACCGATGATGATGTCACAGTGACGATGACGTCACATTGATGTTGATGTCACAGTGATGATGTCATACCGATGATGATGTCACAGTGACGATGACGTCACACCAATGATAATGTCACAGTGACGATGACGTCACACTGGTGATGATGTCACAGTGACGATGACATCACATTGATGTTGATGTCACAGTGATGATGACATCACACCAATGATGATGTCACAGTGACGATGACGTCACACCGGTGATGGTGTCACAGTGACAATGACGTCACACCGGCGATGACGTCACAGTGACGATGACGTCACACCGACGATGACGTCACACCGACGATAATGTCACAGTGACGATGATGTCACACCGACGATGACGTCACAGTGACGATGACGTCACACCGATGATGATGTCACACCAATGATAATGTCACAGTGACGATGACGTCACACCGGCGATGATGTCACAGTGACGATGACGTCACACCGGCGATGATGTCACCGTGACAATGACGTCACACCAATGATAATGTCACAGTGACGATGACGTCACATTGATGTTGATGTCACACCAATGATAATGTCACAGTGACGATGACGTCACACTGACGATGATGTCACAGTGACAATGATGTCACACCAATGATAATGTCACAGTGACGATGACGTCACACCGGCGATGGTGTCACAGTGACGATGACGTCACACCGACGATGACGTCACCGTGACGATGACGTCACGCCGACGCCGCCGCTGCCGTCGGTGTCCCCGCAGGTTTCGCGTTCCCCGAGTGGGCGTACAAGGCGGAGTCGAGCCCCGGCTCGCGGCAGATCCAGCTGTGGCACTTCATCCTGGAGCTGCTGCGGCAGGAGCAGTACCGCGAGGTCATCGCCTGGCAGGGCGACTACGGCGAGTTCGTCATCAAGGACCCCGACGAGGTGGCGCGGCTCTGGGGGGTGCGCAAGTGCAAGCCCCACATGAACTACGACAAGCTCAGCCGCGCCCTCAGGTCAGGGGGGCACCCAAAATCACCCCAAAATCACCCCAAATCACCCTGGGACCCCCAAAATCACCCAAAATCACCCCAAAATCACCCCAGAATCACCCTGGGACCCCCAAAATCACCCCAAAATCACCCAAAATCACCCCAAAATCACCCCAAAATCACCCCAGAATCACCCTGGGACCCCCAAAATCACCCAAAATCACCCAAAATCACCCAAAATCACCCCAAAATCACCCTGGGACCCCCAGAATCACCCTGGGACCCCCAAAATCACCCAAAATCACCCCAGAATCACCCTGGGACCCCCAAAATCACCTTGGGACCCCTCAGAGCCACCCCGGAATCACCCTGGGGACCCCCGGGGCGCACAGGGGGGACACGGGGGGGACACAAAGGGGCCCTAAATCCCCATCCCGGGGACCCCCAGAGTGATCCCGGGACCTCCAGGGGGTGCGGCGGGACTCCAGGAGGCTCTGGGTGGGCTCTGGGTGGGCTCTGGGTGGGCTCTGGGTGGGCTCTGGGAGGCTCTCGGGGTCCTGGGGAGCTCCGGGGGTCTCCGGGGGTCTCAGGACTGGGTGGGCTGGCTCCTCCCCCGCGGTCCCTGGGTGGTTCGGGAGGGTGGGTGGGGGTCGCAGCGAGGCCGCGCCCCCTCCCCAGGTATTACTACAACAAGCGGATCCTGCACAAGACCAAGGGCAAACGCTTCACCTACAAGTTCAACTTCAGCAAAGTGGTGCTGGTGAATTATCCCCTCCTGGAATTGGGGGGGGGG